ATCTTATGCATTTTTTAAGGGGTTTTCAATAATTTAAAGCTCAAGTTTTTTTCCCTTTTGCATAGAATAAAATCCTTTAAAGAGAGCAATAAAAGCTTTCTAATTATTTTTTAATATTTCTTCAACGTGAAATTGTAATAACATTATTTTAAATTAAGTAATTTAAATTGTAACTTTTCTTTTAAAAAAATTATTTTATTACTCAAGATAATATTGAAGACATTTCCTCAAAAATTTAGATATTTCACATTTCTGGTCGGAGCAAAAAAAATGAAAAATTTATTCACAAAAGTGAAGAAGTTTGCGGGTTCTGGTTGTTGTAAGTTGTTAATTAAAAAAACCTTTTTTGTAAATTAATACAATTCATAGTTAGTTTTTCGCAAAATCGGTCAAACTTACTCTCTCAAAAAAGCTTTAGATTTAAACACAGGAATACTTTACACAAGGAAATAAGTTTTTGTCACAAACTTTACGTTTCTAATCCCTTTATATTTGCAACACAATGTTGTAGACATTTGTTATTAAAAACAATGAATTCTGTAAGATGAAAAGGTCAAAAGTATCAAAGGTTTGCACCATCAGACGGCAAAGATATGGATTAGAAAACTTGAATTTGTGGCAAAACCTCAATTCTAATTATATACATCAAAACGGCAGAACGGATCGGGCTAAATTTTTTGTGGCAACTCACATGACCCCAGGGAAGGTTTGTGAGAGCTTAAAAGTGAGAAGTTTGTCGAATTTTTTTTTATCGAAATCTATCAATGTTAACAGAAGAAAATCGCAAAAGTTTGACAAATGGTCGCTTGAAAAACAATATTTGAAAGCTAAAATTGTTGTGCAAGGCACCCCACCCAGAACTAACCAGATAGAGAAGCATTCGGTTTCTTTTATTTGAAATCAAACATGTTTTGGTTTATAATTCAACAATCTTTAAACTTACAGGTTTATATATTTTATATTTTTTATTCAAAATGTATACGCCAACAAAAAATTATTTCAGAAAAAAGGCTATAAAATTATGTATAAGGGGTCAAATTGTGATCAAAAGTCACAGCTTTCTGAAATATTGACTGAATTCGTAGTATATAAATATTAAATAAGATTAAATATTTATTCAGATTTCTTCATATTTATTTTTAGACAACATTAAAGATAAACATCAAACAATACAGAGTTAAACTAAAACTAGATTAAATATCATAATATTAAATACTTAATACAGTATTAATGAAAATAATAGTACTTTTAATTACTTTTTTTAATGATAATTTTACATGTTTAAAACTTGTAGATACATGTTTGAGCTACAATAAATATGTGAAAATAAAGCTCTAACTGAACTTGAAACAGGCTGGAAATGTCACTGTGACAGCGTTTAAATATTGTTAAATAAGATAGACGTGAACACTGAACACATATTGCTTTCAAATGGTGGAGGGGAGAGGGGGGGGGGTTATATGTGGCCCCACCCCTCTCCTGCTTACGTTCCTTCTGGATTATTTTTCATATGTCTCAAATGAATCCTAAAAAATTTCTCTACAATAGTACATTCTCAGTTCAACTACCATACTTGCCGGTCACTCCCTTTAACAGCTTGATATGAATCAAAATTAAAATCAAACTTTGCCTTGATTGTATTGATATAACCTCCTACTACTGTTAATTATCCGTTTTATTTAAAGGGAATGGTGTTGTAATTGGTCAGACATGGGTTTTAAGGTCAGCGTTGTGAATTACATAATAGACTAATTACTAAAAAAGAAAAATGTTACTTGAAATTAATTCTTCAGTCCCTTTAAAAAGACTTTTACTATAAAGTGTTTATTCTAGGTTACAGGATATAATCCCGAGTTTGGGTTTAAAACAATATTTTGATTTTATTGTTACGTCAGAGGTTAGTAACGGTCTTAGTTATTTTTAACTTACTGTAATTTTGAATACTTCTCAGTTATTTATGATATTATTATTTTTCAAAAATATTTGTCACTGAAATCTGATAAATGATCATTAGACAAGTATTGAGGAGGAAAATTTGAATTAACGATGAGATTTGTTCAACTTGAGGCCTGATTTAATGAATAACGAAAAATAGTTTTAAAAATAGTCCAGCCTAAACCATAAAGTTGCCAACGAGGCAGTCAAACTGGGTTTCGACAAATTTTTATCAAACTGAAGAAAAAAAATAGTTTAAACTTCGGAAATTTGGATTTATGTTGAAATTGATTTTTAATAAACAACGATGTTGGTGTTTATTATTTTTAAACCAAGGTGTGTTTACCTATATTTTTTTACTTTGTTTACATAGGAAACTTTGTATAATTTTATTTGATTTTAAAAAAAAATTTTTAAAACTTAACTTTGATAATTATTTGTAGAATTCAGAAATGATTAGTAGAATTATGATGACTTGAGTATATCCTTTTTTTAAAAAAAAAATTGACCTTTTTTAAAGAACAATAAAACTTTTATAAAACCAATTGTTCACCTTCAAATGTTTCTTTTCTTCAATATTTTTAAAATATAAAATTTTATGATTTTTTATGTTTATTTCCGTGTTACTACTGAAGTACTGAAAAATCTTAGTTCGAAATCTGAATTACAATAATTTAAACCGCGACTAGACGCGGTTATAACATGGTTGGTTCAACTTGAAATTTTAATCAGTGTTTTGATATTTGAGCTAGCGGACAATTTTAATTGGTGATTGGCGGTTCAGCGACGCGGTTCAAATTCATTAAATTTGGCCTCAGGACTTGAAATTTTTAACTTTTTACACGGATCTAAAAACAACTTTTCACAGAACTCTAGAGTTTTGATTTGTTCAGTTTCCACAAGAAATATGAACAAACTGAGTTTTATATATTTCTGCTCGAAACTTTTGGTCTGAAAAATCAATGGTATATTTCGGTCTTTGACGACTTTGACTCAGATCTGAAAACAAATCCCTCCAGTTTTATATGATTATGATTTTTAGAAAGATCTGGCCGATAAATATGATGAGAAGAAAATTGAAAAAGTAGCTTCACATCTTTACTCCTATTATCATTCACCCAAACCATATATAGGTCAGGAGCCAACAAAATATTAATATCAGGAGCGTACTAAAGAATTATTCAGCTCCCGCTTGGGCATGAAAACCCCTTGGAAATCATAGATTTTACTGATCATATGAAATAAAGTTGCATTCTTATCTTATTATCTTATTATCTTATTATCTTATTATCTTATTATCTTATTATCTTGTTATCTTGTTATCTTGTTATCTTGTTATCTTATTATCTTATTATCTTATTATCTTATTATCTTATTATCTTATTATCTTATTATCTTATTATCTTATTATCTTATTATCTTATTATCTTATTATCTTATTATCTTATTATCTTATTATCTTATTATCTTATTATCTTATTATCTTATTATCTTATTATTTTATTATCTTATTATCTTTTTCTAGTTTTTTATGTTTTGGTTATTTAAAAATGTTGTCAATTAGAAAGAAGATTAGCAGGTTGCTACAAACAGAGTAAGCTTCAGAAAACCAACAAAAAATTAATAGGCATTGTATCTTCCTTCATATACTTTGAGGCCTTTTTTGAGGCAATACTTGTCTGCTAAGACACCCTCCCTTTAGGTTTAAGAAGGGATAAAACTGTTGGCTCTTAAGTTTTAGAGGACGGAGTGGAAACCTTGAAGAAACTTAGATCAGATTATAATTCAAGAATCGGAGTTATATCCAACTTTGACAATAGGAAAATCACTTCATTCATCTGTAGATTTTTGCTACAGTGGTAGCAATTATATCAATACAATGAGGACGAGTTTTTTTCTTCAAGTTTTGATTGTATACAAGCTTTTTTCGAATTACAAGTTTAGAAGTAAATAAAGTGAAGCTTTTCTAATCGACAGCTTCTCTTGACTTCTAAGTTTGTGTGTAACCATGCTGTATAAAGGGAGTGACCGGCAGTGTATGGTAGTTGAACGGAGAATGTAGTATTGTGGAGAAATTTTTTAGGAATCATTTGAGACTTATGAGACGTTTTTACGGTGCATATTTGTTCAGCAAGAGCGCAAATTCAATCTGTAAAATCCTCATTCCTCATAGATGGTTCATTTTTGAGGGATGATTTTGGGAATCGGTTTTAAAAGAATTATTCAATAACGACGAAAAAAAATGTAGTAAAAATTCTACAGCAAACTAATTAGTTGTTTAGGAACAGGTTGAGAAAATAAAAAATAACTTATCATCGAAAATAATGAATCTTGTTCAGTTATTGGTTTCTGTAATGTCTCATTATATACAAACATTTTCTTTACATTTCCTGGATTTTTGTTTGAAAAGACGACATTCAAAGAATTTGAATACATTTTGATACAAATTCATAAAGAATAAGAAATTCAATATAATGATGTAAAAGAAATAATTGATCCTAACATTGATTTATTGAGAAAATTTCAATTGAGAAATATGTTCTGAAACATCTAATTAGTAAACTGATTTTTTTTACTTTTTTGTCGTCGTTATTTCATAACAAAAAAAAACGATTCTCAAAACGAAGCCACCCAAATGGATTATTTTGGACGTCGACTTTGCGCCTAAACTCAGTAAATATACATTATTAAAGGGTTTCATATGTCTCAAATGAATCCTAAAAAATTTCTCTACAATACTACATTCTCAGTTCAACTACCATACTTGCCGGTCACAGCTTGATATGACTCAAAATTAAAATCAAACTTTGCCTTGATTGTATTGATATAACCGCCTACTACTGTTAATAGTCTGTTTTATTTAAAGGGACTGGCGTTGTAATTGGTCAGACATGGGTTTTAAGGTCAGCAGCGTTGTGAATTAGATAATAGACATGCCACTTGGTTACTTAAAATTAAGTCTACAGTCCCTTTAAGAAGACTTTTACTATAAAGTGTTTATTCTAGGTTACACGATATAATCCCAAGTTTGGGCTTAAAACAATATTTTGATTTTATTGTTACGTCAGAGGTGGGGAATGTTGATTAGGAGGAAGAGAGTTAAAATTTTAGATAATCCAAAGAACACGAACACTCCATTGGGCAGTATTCTCAGACCCATTTCACTTAGTTGATTTTAATCTACTAGTAAATCTACTTGCTTTATTACAACGTCAAATACACATAAGATTGCTAAGATGTCGTCCACTGTTCTGTCTTTTAACATTTTTCTCTATAGAGAAATGCGGGAAAATTCTGTAGAAAATTCACAAAAAATTTATATTTCAGACTCGGCTTCTTTAACAAGTTGCTAAGTAAATAAATTTAATTTAATAATGGAACATAATGATGAGGTTAAGATAAATACTGTGAAACCTGGAAGAAAACGGAAATTAGGAACGTCTGGCTCAAAATGTCCACCATTAGAAAAGGTAGGTTTTCATTATTTAATTTCATAGTGAACATTGAACAAATGAATTTTAAAGATTAGTATTCTACATTAAGAAAACATTTTTTCTCCTCTCTAAAGGTGCAATGTATACATATTTAAAGATCTGTTGGATTCATAACTTGATTTATTAGTTTTATCTTCAATGTACAGAATTTGAGTGACATTACATTTTTAAAGGACTGCAATTTTAAATGTTTATCTCATTTTTAGAGTGTATGTCTAATTCACTGGTCACCCTAATATCCTTTTCCTGAGGAACAATGAAAAAGATACCCGCGTTTTTCATCTCGTAAAGAGATCAATTCTGTCAATTTTTCTTCATTGTCTCTTCTGCATAAATCTGCAAGTCGCTTATATATAGAAACCACAGTTAAAAATTATTTACAACTAGAAAAATAAGAATATTTAAATAATCGGAAACTCTGCAAGAACAGTCCATTGAAGAATGTTTTATCATTAAACAAACGCAATAGTACTGGATGGTGTGATTATCGCCATAGGTAAATCATAGAAACATATTTAAATTAAATTTTCTAACTAACTTTTTTGTGAACATATTAAACATAAAAAATAGATTTTTTTTTAAATTTTTTATTTTTTTCATTTTTTATTTTTTAGCGTCCCTAATAATTTTGTAGAAAAGATTAGTCTAATCTTTATTTAGAAACTTATTAACAAACACTGTGTAATTCCGTTTCAAGCATCAGTGAAAAACATGGTGATTTGCCTTATCTTACATTCTTTCTATAATTATAGTACTTTAGCAGTGTAAAAGTGATGGTTATTGGACTTGGAGTTCAAAATACAATTCAAAATATATTCGAAATATTTTTGGTCATTTTTTGTCACCTTGATCCGGGGACAAAAAAAAACCTTTTTAAAAAAATTCTGATTGTTATTATTTTGGGAAAATTTCAAATTTCATTCACGGCCGTACAATCCTTTAATATTTCAAGAATAAACTAAAATTATTGAAATCAGCCCTTTCTGATAGTTATTAGGATGTATTGTATAGGATTTAAAAATCGGAGCCGACGGAGGTCACTTTTCAGAGGTTCCAAGACTCCGGAAAGAGATATCGACAATCTGACTTCATATCCTGCTCCTAACAAATTATATGAGTCTACGTTCAAAAATAGAACCGGCTGCTATTAATATTGAAAGAGATATTACAAAATGTCTTACTTGACACGGGTTCTTTTATATCAACAGATATTTCGCTTTGTGTTTACTCAGTATATGAACAGTTCTTTAAAATTTAACATTCATACTTTTGTGATTTTTTCTCATTAATCAAATCAGTTCGACCTCTAAGCTAAGAAAAAAGCAATTAAAGTTGTCAATGATCAACTAACTTTCTTTGATTTTTCTTTGATTATTAGTTGATTTTTCTTTTCTTCACGTCAGAAGTAGAAAATTTTGCATTACATTTTAATTCCAAATGAAACTTTAGCTAGGGACAGAGGGGGGTGCCGATTCAGAATCAGTAGCTTTAAAGAAAGATAAAATATCATCAGAGACTCCTAATAGTCATTCTTTTTTGTGATTAATTGGATCAAAACTTTTGTGTCATTATTAACATTAAAGTTTGTAACGAAAACCCAAAAAATTCACATTTTCATGATTGATAATTAATTATCTAATTTGAGAGATATTTATCCAGTGCACGATTATAGTCTTGCTGATGGATAAATTTTGAATAATGATCAAAATTTGGGATATTATTTGTATATTCAAATGTGTGAGTAATCCTTTAAAAAAAGCGTTAAAGATTTAAGTCCAAACAAATGCTGAGTGATTTATATACAACGTTTTACAATGCTGTATTCATTTTCCAATTTTAAATGGTTAAGATAAAAATCATTAATTCAAAGACAATACTTTTAACTTTTATTTTTGATATGGTACAAGCTGTAAGACCTCACTTCATTCTTGAACTAGTAATTTAATTTAGAGTTTGGGGGTGGATTATAGGGCAGTAGGACTCCCGAACAGCATGATTTGATTTGATTTAATTTGATTTGATTTGATTTGACTTATTTTGATTTGATTTGATTAGATTCGATTCGATTTGATTTGATTTAAATTGAATTGATTTGATTTGATTTGATTTGATTTGAATTAATTTGATTTGATTTGATTTGATTTGATTTGATTTGATTTGATTTGATTTGATTTGATTTGATTTGATTTGATTTGATTTGATTTGATTTGAACAATAAACGTCAAAATACCGTAAACTAAGAATCATAAGATATTTCCAACCATACTATCATATAAACCGGTTTTGTAAATGTAAACAATGTGTCTAGGTAGAAATGTCCGGTGGAAAGAGTAGAAGAATGATGACAAGTATTGAACCTGCTCCACTCAGCTGTGAACCTGCGGCCCAGCAGGTCAACCTAATTCTTGAATTTACTTTCTTGTTGAAAAAATGTTCACCTTAATAATGTCTTTATTGGTTTCAAGTGAATAATAAAGTTTTTCTCTAATACTGCGCTTTCAGCTCAACAACCATGTCTAGCCGGTTTCTCCTTTTAAAGAGTAGGGGGAATGAGATTAGGGTGCCAGATTAAATCGGCAGGGGAATCAGCACCTGACTGAGACCCTTCCCGGAGTCGGTCTGGGGATCCCACATTGGGGGTCTTTCACGATCTTTTTCATTTATTTATTTGTTTAATTGTATGCGAGTCTTCACTTATTAAGATGGAATGTCAGATTCAAAGGTTTGAATGTCAGTAACCTTCAAACCTTTGTCGGATCATGGACACACAAGATATCCAAGTTGTTCTAATTGAAAATTGATATTTTTTAGTTGTGATTTCTCTGTAAAAGTGGCATGTGGATTAATGCAATAGAGAACTTGCGGAAATTATCATAATTTAACATATTTCAAGATCATAAAACGACGATATCTTCCTTATTGTTACTCAGTTAAAAATTATAAGGGTATCTATGTGAATCGGACATTCCACTCTAACAAATAAATGATCACTTTAAATCAGGTCACTGTACCTTTGAGCTCAAAAAGTTCACTAGGCGAGATTTTTTTATGTGACTCTTTCGACTGATCTCGATATCAACTGAGTTAAATTGTCCATCCCTCGATACTTAAATAGGTATCTAAAAGGTTGAACAATCTAACGCTGACGTCACGAGTTCAACAAAATATGAGAAAGTTTCGCCCTGAAAGTAAACTTGTGATGCTTGAATCAGGTTGCATGCATGCCCTTCCCTTTGGAAACTTAAGTTCCCCCCCCTTGACAAATTCCTTTTAAAAGTCCCTCTGGCTTGAATGTTCTATAGTTATTATTAAAATGATAATAATGATTTCGTATAGGAAAGGGACAGCATAGATTACAATATAAGAATAACTATGGATATGGCAAACTCTGGAAGCGCTCCGAGGTAAATTTTTTAATTAACTTCTTTTAATAATATTGTAAAATATGATGATAGATAAAAAAATCTGAAAAAAGGTGTTTCCAAGATTTGTGTAATTGGTTATTAGTTATTATTATTAGTTGATTATTAGTTAAGGATTTGATAAGAACTACGTTATTTTGATCTTATGCTCCTTTACGGTGTACTCCAGAAAAAGTATATATTTATCTTGACTTAACTTTTTCAGATTGCAATTATTTACAAATGATTTTTCTGAAATACTATGCGACTGTATAAAGACATCAGAACGACATACATTAGTTTATTCCATCTAAGCTCATTTTATCCTTTACCCGTATTTAAAATCAGAGAACACTCCCTTAATGGAATCAAAATCATGATAACTGATTATTTTATTTTTATTTTGTTGTTAGGCGGATTCGTGTATATGCAGACGGTATCTACGATCTATTCCATCAGGTACTATTCATCTGTACAAACACAGCTTAGACAGACACTTCATTCCTGACAACTTTCTCATTGTTTCACATATAGAGGTTTAAAGGGTACCGTTGTGAACAGGACATGTCGAGTTTATATGAGGGGGAAGGGGGGGGGGTCACTTGAAATTACGTTCGCAGATACATAATAGATGTTAAAACAATCTAATGTAACATCTTAAAATAGTATGCTCTTAAAATAGAATTTAAATTTTAAAAGAGTCAGATATATTTTTTTATTGTCCATTGCCACATTTCAGTTACAATTTTAATTTATATGTTTGATTTTCTTATCACTTAATTATCATTTATCAGTCATTAGTCTTAACGTTTATTGTGTCCTAAAATATATACATGTATTACATTAGGGGCATGCCAGTCTGATCATGCAGGCTAAGCATGTATTATATAAGGAGCATGCCAGGCAGATAATGCAAGCTAAGAATGTAATAAATTAGGGGCATGCCAGACAGATGATGCAAGCTAATAATGTATTACATTAGGAGCATGCCAGGTAGTTGATGCAGGCTAATAATGTATTATATTGTATTAGGGGCATGCCAGGCAGATGATGCAGGCTAAGCATGTATTATATTGTATTAGGGGCATGCCAGGCAGATGATGCAGGCTAAGCATGTATTATATTATATTAGGGGCATGCCAGGCAGATGATGCAGGCTAATCATGTATTATATTATACTAGAAATTCATTTCTAGGCTTTTAGGGCGCTTCGCGCCCATCTTCTATTTAAATTAGGAACATGTTCGAATTGTTTACATTTCAAAACAAAGATGAAAGAAGTTTTGCGGATTTTTAAAAAAAAAATCGCGGATTTTCAAAAATTTAAATTTTTTTACAAAATTAAAAACCTCTTAAACACAAATTTTTAAAATTTCAATCATTCATAAACCTTCCCTGGGGTCCCTAGATGTCCCACAAAAAATTTGGGCCCGATCGGTTCAGCTGTTTTGACGTTTATTGGATACAAACAGACAGACAAACAGAGAAACAGACAAGCCAAATTTATATATAGATTATAGGCATGCAAGGCAGATGATGCAGGCTAATAATTTATTATATCGTATTAGGGGCATGCCAGGCAGATGATGCAGGCTAAGAATGTTTTCCCTAATTCTGAAGTTTATCTGTTGGTTGGATGTTGTAATGATGAGCTAACACATTCTAAGAAGGTAGATTTTCTTAATTTGTTAAAATATTTATTATACCCCCCTTTTTTATTAAGTTTAGCCTTGCTCTTATTCTCCGTTTTTTCCTCTAAAATATGTTATTCTGTTTTTTTCTCTAAAGTATGATGTTTAAGTTTTGATACCTAATAAATAACAGTTTTTTTTGTTGGTTTATTGAATTATTTATTGGTTTATAGTGCACACTGAAATTGAAAAGAGTATCGTTGAACGAAACTCCCGAGTATATTTTTTTTTGGTGTCTTAACATTTCAGTAGATTTTAATTTGAGAGATTCGAAAACAATGGAGAATATGAAAAAATCAAATAAAATGATATATCATAACACAAAAATTGATATCCACAAAACTGCCTAACCCTATTCGTGAAACCCGGGTTACAAAACTGGTTTTCATAACGATACCCTGTCTTAAGTTTTAGGCTCTGTACACTTTTCGATGTACAATGTACATTGTACACTGCACTGTACAGTGTTGGTAGATTTGAGTACACGATGAACACTGTAAACTATTCAGGGTAAGACTGTTATGACGGATCTTGAAAGATATGAAGCTCTCCGCCACTGCAGATACGTTGACGAGGTCAGTTGGAGTAGTTGGAGTTATTTCAGGCTGTTAGTGTATACAACTATTTGACTTAAAAAAAGAACAACCATAAAATTGAATTATGATATTTTGCATGCATATATAGTTTATGTTTTAGAAATGCATTTATTGCTTCTAGATACATGATAATTAACGAGTGTATTAAAGGAGAGGAAGATGAGTAGGTCTTCTCTGGTCCAGGATCCGACGCTACTGATTTGCGGATTTTATAATTCTTTTTCCGGGATTTCATCCCCCCTAAGTCTCGAGCATAGAGAGAGTCGAGACTGATACTTATCTCCTTGTAAGTGTTTAAGGAAAAGGAGTAGTAGGAGTTCTGGTGATGATTGATCATTATTCACAAATAGTTGTTTGTGAATTTCTGATCTGCCCCCTCCCCACGTCATGATCAACCTTCAGTAAGGCTGGCCAGTGGCCATTTGAAGAGGTCAGTTGTAGTGAAGGCTAGGCGGGCATATATTCAACCTGTAGAGAACTGGCGTCCAGAATATCTAAGAGTAGGTTAAAGATAGTAGCTGAGTTGCTTGATAGCTCCAGAAGTAACTATTTAGCTGATTAGCTCCGGAAGTAGCTGTGTAGCTAATTAGCTCTAGGAGTAGCTAGCTGTGTAGCTGTTTAGCTTCTGAAGAAGCTCAAGTTTAGCTTATTAGTTTCTAAAGGGTTGAAGTTTAGCTTATTAGCTCCAGGAGTAGCTGAGGTTTAGCTTATTAGCTCCAGGAGTAGCTGAGGTTTAGCTTATTAGCTCCAGGAGTAGCTGAGGTGTTGAAAAAAAAACCGAACACTGGATACTTTTTCACTCAAAGTAAATAACTTTTACCCGATCATAATGAAATTAATGATACAGTGATTTGGGCAAACCTGCTCTGAATGGTGGCTATTTATCTATTTATCCTTGGGTCTTTCTTAAAAACTAGCTGCAGTGACTTAATACTTTTTTATCGGGTTTTACTATGAAAAAGTGTAAGTAAGGGTACAGAAAATTCAAAATACATTTTAAAAGGCTGTCAATCTCAGCTTTCATCAGCTGCCAAGAATATATTCTACTGAAAGCACAGGGGCATCAAAAGACCATTATGTACCGACCAATTTAAATGTCGGGTACTGTAAATGTCAAAAATGTACAGGCCAATGGATTATTTAAAGTGTTTTGTATATATGCCAATATAACATAAACAGTTTGCGACAATTTACTGAATTTGTTAATGACTACTAAGTGTAGACTGTATACGCAATTTCAAGAGATTATTTGATTTACAACTGCACTCATTAAACCTTTATCTGAGTAACAATGAGACAGAATACCTCAAAATATTTTGAACTGAGGTACATTCTTACAATTTCCATAATTGTTTGCTACATGAATCAGCAAGTCACTTTTACAGAGAACCTTTAATTGAAAAGAATCATTTATTAGCTAGAAAACACGGATATCTCAATCAACTGTTGACTAGAAAAGGTGTGATGGATACCATTGTGAAATAGAGAAGGGTCACTTAATATTACGCCTTTAAATAGAAATTATCACGAATAATAGTAGTTTCATCAAATCATTAATCTAAGAATTAAGCATAAATTGTTAAATATTTATTTCTGATCAGGTTGTAGTTGATGCCCCCTGGACTCTATCAGAAGAGTTCCTGGAGAAACATAAAATAGATTTTGTAGCTCATGACGATGCACCCTACACTACCGGCAGTGATGCGGTAATATAATCTGTACATTCCTCGTTATTATTAATACTACTGTTACTACTATTATTATTATTATGATAATGATTGTGATAAAGTTGATATTTTAAGGATGATGTTTATGCTCTTGTTAAGAAGAAGGGTATGTTTGTTGCGACTCAGAGAACTGAGGTAATTTTATATTAATTTTAAATTCAAGATTTTTAGCTTTGACAAAATGTTGTTCTTTATTTTTTATCTTAATTTTTTTATCTTATTTTAAAGATAATTCCTCCTCTATATTAGATTCTGCTTCGATCAACAATATTATTCAATATTTTGAACTACATAGTACATATATTAATGTTTTTAATGCTCATTTTTTGTTTTGTTTTTATTAAAAATGTGTATTGTTTAGGGTGTATCTACATCTGATATAGTTGCTAGAATAGTTCGAGATTATGATACATATGTCAGGAGAAACCTTGCTAGGGGGTACTCCAGGTATATATATATATATATTTCAGTTTTTAACTTCACATTTTTATTAAAAAAAGAATTATACTATACTAGGGTGCTTCGCACTGATTTTTGATTTTAACTTTTAATTGTTGCTCTATCCACGGCATTTTCTCATCTTAAATTATCAAACAGTAACAAAACAATTTTCGCGGGTTTATTTATTTTTTTCGTGGATTTAGAAAAATCAAATTTTTTCAATTCTAAAAAAAATACAATTTCCTTAGTGGCTACCATTCATCGTAAAACCCTCCCCCTTCCTTACATACATTTTTTGGAATTTTACTAATTTTAAACGATAAAGATTATATTTGAAAACACTAATTTCAACTACTGTCTTCGAGAAGTGGTTGAAGACGCCAAAACTAGTTCAACTACCTCTCTCAAACCCTAAATTGCCATTTTCCATATAAGAGAAATGACTTAATTTTTTTCAGACAGGAGTTAAACCTGTCCTTCGTGAAGGGGCAGACGTACAAGCTGCAGAACAAGGTGGATGAGTTTAAGAACGGGGTTCATGACAGGTTTCATAGATGGGAGGAACAGTCCAAGGAGATGATCACAAACTTTCTTCATATGTTCGGAGGCCCCAGCTTCGACCAGGTAGTTTGCATTCTGAGGCATTATAACACTAAACATATAGCATTTAGTTTTCTTAGTTGAAGTTGAATATTGATTTTCTGTATACATTTACCGGTCTTGTGGGCTGGTATGTTATTTAACTGTCCCTGATATGGAATATGGGAAGTGATAGCCAAACTCTTCTTGTTATTTTTCTATAGGAAAATATGCTGGTAGTGTGATTCACCGACATAGGGTCAAATGCCATAGGGTCGAACGACAAACGGTCAAAAACGCGAAAAGGGTAAAACGACATAAAGTCTAAAAGTGCGACAAACGGGCCAAATTTCATTTAGACTATTTTTGGTTTATTTCAAACGATTTTTTATGTTCATTAGAACTATAACCTCAGAGCTCGGTCCCCTAGCTTGTCCTATCCGCAGCACTTAGCCCAGAAGTTGTTTTATTCTAACCTATAAACCCTGAAATAAAACGTATTTCTATTTAATGTTTTATGTTCATTTTAACAACTAGCCTCAGTGCTTGTCCCCCTTGCCTGTCCTAGACGCAGAGCTCGGCTAAGTAATTGTCTTTTCTTACCTTACCCTGAAATAATTATTTTTTCCCGATTTTGACCCTTTGTCGTTTTACCCTTTGTCGCGTTTTTGACCGGTTGTCGTTTTTACCCTATGTCTGTTAACCCTCGATTCTTCGCCTTGCTTGTGTGTACAGGCTTTAGGTTTCTGATAGTTTATTTTCTATTTAGATAATGAATTCTGGATTAGTTCGAGCAATATCACCATCCCCCTCACCTCCAGGCTCTCCTCTACCTCCAGGCCAGCATACAGGTCAACAGTAGGAGCCTGGAAATCCTCGTGTTCCAGTAGATTAGTATAGTTTAGTACCACTATCAGGAAATAGAAGAGAAAACAAAATGGCACATCTTCTGCAACCATCACTTCCTGGAATCAGCTGATAATTATTAGCGGACTAGGAGGAGCTATTATTTGTCTCCACCCTGGAACCATTTAATAGTTAATAATATTGCATTCATATTGCATATACAATTTACAATTATCAATAATGTGATTTATATATTTCACAATCACATAACACCAGATTACAATTCTCACAATTAAACATTATTATTCTATAGTTTAAGATATTAGCAACTATTTTTCAGAAATGACCATTGATATGATTATTTTCATTTTGATACATTTTTTATTTCTTTATTTATTATTTTCACTCTTGTTTTTTTATAGTTTATTTAAGTTTTAAATTGAAATATTTATAAATTGGTGCGCTCTGTGATTTTGCACCTAAGTCATTAAACTTAAATTAAATATATATGAAAATATTAACGCATAAGCTTTGTTATTAAGTAAAATTTCACACGTTATGATGGATTTATCAATTTATCAAAATTGTTCCTTTTAAAAACCTCACAATATAAACTATTTGAAGTACTTGATCAAATTGTCTTCCAAATTTAATTATAATCCAGTAGAGTTATGAACAAATATTCACATTAAATGTTTCAGAAAGGAATTACAATGCATAAACACAGATTACAGTTCAGTCAACGTTTTTATGTTCAGAATTGATAATAGTACAGGTAACGCAGGATTCATGTACAATATACATATGTACATTGTTTATTTTGTGTACTAACTTGAATACCCAAGGTATTCATAGTTACCCCGCCTTTTACCCGCGCTTGGTCGTAAATTACGATTTTAACTATTTTTCCTTATTAAAGTGGAGTGGACCTACCCAAAACCAAGCTAAGACCATTCTCGTGGTTCTTCAGATTTCATCAACCAAAATTCGAGGCAAATCGGTTAAGGTATTCATGCATTACGATCGGATACACAAACAGAGATTACAACTTTATAATATATAGATTCACTGTTTACTAAATCAAACAAATAACAGACGAGCGCGAATACTGAACATCTTGTTGTTTAAAGCTGAGATGCAAGGGTGTATGTTACACTCTGTGCATCCTCATTGGTGCACTTTCAATACTGCATCCTCAATTTGCGGCATCTATTTATGTACAAACCTTCCTTTGCTAGTATTCAACAATTTTGTCAGGGTGAGTTCAGAGTTGAAACAGATTTTGCAACAGATATTTACGACAATTTACTGCAAACTTGATTTTAGGGGATTGTTCAACTAAAGAATGCCATTAATAATTTACTAAATTGTGTTTTACCTTTTAGCTAGCTATTATTTTACTTATTTTATCTTCTACAAAATGATGAATTACGTCGAATGTACTTTTATTCTGAATAATGTAGGAACGGTTTTATTTTCAAATCGATTATTTTACTGTAGGTTAATAAGAAACTGTTAGTATGGAGGGAAATTACCACGAGGATGGTTCCCCTCAGCCCAAAAAACACAAACACACCAAAGATCCACAAAGATATCCATGTGATGAATGTGACTATACGTCATCCAACAAGACGGATCTCAAAAGACACATGAACAGTGAACACATAGGAATTACATATTCATGTGATAAATGTGACTTTGTTGGGACATCGTTATCAGGTTTGCGAGGACATAAGACAAGGGTGCATATATTAACCAAATATGAATACTATAATCCATTGAACACGGGATCTAGTCAGATAAACCAACAACCAGAAACAATTATAAAGAATAAAGGTAGGGAAGGAGGGAGTAAGTTTGGGGGAGAAATTCCAAGTAGAGGCGGAGGTAATGCTAGCAGTGGCGGAGGTAATGCTAGCAGTGGTAGAGGCATGGCTAGCAGTGGCGTAACTTTTCCTAGCGGAGGCGGAAAAGGCATTAAATGTCCTGGAGTTGCAGCCGGAAGTGGCGGAATTCCTAGCCGTGAAGGAACGTCTCAACCCAAAGGCCAGCCCAGACTTTTTGTTGTTCCAGGTAATAGAACTTTTATCCCGGATTCTTACTTCTAATTTTACGATTCCTGAGATAAAAGGTTTCTTATTTGTTTCCAAGACATAAAACGTGACTCCTCCCGCCAAATTTTTTATATTTTCGTGGATTTTAATAAGCATTTCTCGTTTAGGTCATAGCCCCCCGGCAGATAGGTCTCCAGGGGCTAAGACAATAATATTCTAATAATTTTAGTTCAATCCCGAATGAGGAAGAAACGGTGCGCTGTGCCCGGGTGTGGCGACTATTCTGGAACTATGCACCGGTTTCCCAAGAAGCCTCAGAGGATGGAAGAATGGCTTCAGGCACAGAATAGAAAACAGATATATAGGAATTTACCAACTAAATGTGCAAAACCGCCATTTTTTTTATACTGTCACCTTACTGAAGGTGAACCTCACAAATTTGTGAACTTATGATCCGTGTAACAAAAAATGATTTTTTTCTTAAAATTCTTTGGGATAAAATTAGGGGCGGCAATAGTGGGGGAAGTGTAAAAAACGACATTAATATTATGAAATTATATTATTTGTGAACAAAATTTACACTTAAACTTTAGATCTTTTTCTAACTTAGATTGAAAATATATATTTTCTCTATATGTATTCACTCTGTGGGTTCAGGCCATTGGTCTGACCAAGCTACCGTATACAGACGCCAGGATTTGTGAAAACCATTTCACTCTTGATAGTTACAAGCGGAATTTGAAAGCGGAGTTAATGGAAGGCCAGCCAAGTATATATTTTTTATTATAATTATTTTATCATTATTATTTTTAATATGTTGTTTTCAACAATTATTCTACAGTATCATAAACTAGCAAAAATAATTTGAACTTTATGAACATTTTCTTCAAAGAAAAACCCGCCTTTTTAGGTTTAATTTTGTTTGGTGTCGTAAACTTTGAAGAAAAGAAAACCATAACATCTTGAAAATCTGAGATCTAGTTGCAAGGGGGGGGGGGTAAATGGGCACATGGAAAGTATGCTTTAAGTGGTATTTTCTTTTTATCCTTTCTTTTATACTTTCTTTATATCTTGAAAAATTTAGAAAATGATGTTTCTTTGGAAAACTAATTAAATTCCCATCTTTGATGATCCCCCCCCCTCCCTCTTAAAAATAGCAATAACAAAATAAGGAATATCAATACAATGAAGACGACTTTCGATTTAAATTTTGATTTCTTTCAAGATGTGAAACAGCATGGGATAAACACAGATAGGCATAGAAGACAAGAGAAGCTGTCAATTAATAAAGCTTCTCTTTGAATACTTGTAATTCGAAAAAAGCTTGTTAGCAATCAGAACTTAAATAAAAAAGTCGTCTTCAGTGTATTAATATAATCGCACACCACTGTAGGTAAGAGGACCCTGTTAGATGTAGCTGTGCCCAGCCTTCACCTGAGCCAGCTAGAGGAGGAGGATCTAATGGATGATGTGGATAAACCCAGCTTCACCAGGGAGTATGAAGCATTGGTCTCAGGTTTCCTCAAGAAACATACTGATCATCTTCAAGGAGATAAAGCTCAAGAGGAACCTGGAAAGATCTCAGAACTTGTCAAGTGTGAACATGATTTTAATCATGCTGAATCCGATCTTGATCATGTCAAAGCTGAATCGGATCTTGATCATGTCAACTGTGAACCTGATCTTTATAATGTAAAAGCTGAATTTGATCTTGATCAAGTAAAAACTGAAATAGATCAAGATGAAGTTTCCAACAATGATCCTCTTTCCGGTTATTAAACATTTTTAACTTCAAAACATCAGACTTTTTTTTGTAAATATTATTTTTAAATTAAAAATACTCCTTTGATCCAAAGACTTCTGAATAAAAACTTATTGAAATAATCAAAATTTACAATGAGCTAAAAACTTATAAATTTAAAGAAATTACTAAAACAAAATTAAATTTTCTTATCTTGCTAAACTTTTCATATCTTTTACGCAGCCATAATAATAAGGAAATGAAAAACTAATATTTATCAGATGCGGCCAGAAAAATAAAATGTCTATTCACTCCTGTGAATTTTTGCTGCAATGAAGAATTTATTTTTTCTTTTTGTTTTGTCATGTATGGTGTTACAATTAACAACGTTACAATTGCATGTTTTAACGTTACATCATACATGTTACAATGTTACATGGCACATGTTACATATTAAATAAAACATTTTACATATGTTCAATATTACAAATTACGGTGATTTATGTTACTAAGTTACTTTTATCTATGTTCTTGTTAGTGTTGCGCAAAACACAGGTTTTTATACAGGGTTACCCACAAAAGAGGAGACTTTAGAGACGATTGTACGGAATTTATACGGTCTGTTTACTCATATTCATGATTCCCTGCAACTTAAAACATTGAAATCATTGAATAAGCCATAAAAAGATTATATTCAATGTGGAATATTTAATTAAACCCCGTAATTGTCGAATTTAAACAGATTTACGTCATCTTTACCTTTACCTTTGTGGGTAACCCTGTATATACTGACTGTTCTAGATATTACATGTATCACAGTTTTTTCATTTCAAATCTTTCAGAATTTAGAATGGAAATGAAGTTCTTCTATAATATGGAGAGAGAAAAAAACTAATCAATCACTGCAAATATAATGCTGGCATTGTGCCATTTCTAAACAACGGTTCAAAGGTTAAAAAATAAAGTATTTTTATCTTGTGGTCTCTCTAGGCATGTCTCTTATCATATCAAGGTTAATTTTTATGTTTGGATTATTCTGTATTCTCTGGACCCCAGGAGCATAGTGGAGCTGAACCAAATGGGCGGATTTGAGGGAAACCTTGAGTAACCCCGGTAGTAACTAAGGCCAAATAAAAAATTTTAAATTTAATTTTTTTCTTAACCATTTAAAAAAAAAATGTTTTTTTAAACTCCACAGGCAACGCCGGGCACTTAAGCTAGTAATACATACCTATATCACATTTATATGCAGATGATATAAAATGTGCATTTTTTAACATTTTTAGCGCAATGCAGGAAGCGCACTGGAATTTCTAGCCTTTTTACACAGGCACATTTAAAAGTCAATGCTGTATTCTGTATTTATTGAGCGTATTCTTCTCACAGCATACAATCTTCAGTTGCTTTCAATGGACTTTAGTTTTTTGCTTGATAATTTTGATATCTATTTTCAGTAGAAGTTTCATCTCATGTTTAAATTCTTCAAATACTTTTGAAAGAAATACTCTCTTTTGGGCTTTTCCAAGTTTAGTTTATTGCTCTAATATAATCCTGCAGTTTGGGCTCTTCTGTAGTTTTAGTCTTTACTTGAAGTTCAGTTGAACTTTAGCTTGGACACTGAACAGAGGTCTTTAAGAGGTTCAAGAGTAGACGTAGCTCTGTTGAGTTTTAGCTTCAGCTGTGATTGAACTCTTCCCTACATCCAAGATTTGTTGGCAGTTGCTTATTTAAAATTTAGTCCACTCATTATGCTGTTTTTTTTCTGAATTATTTTTTAAAAAAATTTTCCTCCCCCCCCCTTTACAAAACCTTTCTGCAATTATTCATTACCGAATCTTGGGAGAGAAGAATTTAATTTAAAATTAAAAACACTGCATTTTGAGATCAGATTTCCTTCATAAGCAGGGAGTTCAGCACGCTGAGTAGTTAGTGTCTTGATTCTCTTTTAAGACTAGAATATAAATCTACTTTTTTAATTCTAATTCCTTAAAGGGACTGTAAATGTAATTTCAAGTGATGGCAGCAATGCCCGATTTACAACGGTACCCTTAAAAGCTTTGTCTGATCAAGTATGAATTTGATATCCATGTTTTTGCTTTTTTAAACAATTTATTTTTCATTTGCGGGTTCTCTGCGAAAGTGAAAAAAATTATCAGACTTGCGCATTTCTTGCTTACAACTAGCAATGGAGAAATTATCAGAATTAAACCATTTTCGAGTCAGAAAAGCGACGTTTTCTTGCACATTTTTTATCAGATTAAGGTTTCAAGGGTACCGTTGTAAATCGATCATTGCCGTCGTTGCATGGAGGGTCACTAGAAATTACGCGTTCAATCCCTTTAAATTTGTTTATTTTCAGGATATTTATTAATATAGAATGGAAGGAAGACCCCTCGAGGACGGTTCTCCACAAAGAAAGAAAAGATGTAAAGTCCCTCCCCTCATATCCTTGTGTTATCCATGTGACGAATGTGAATTTTCCACAGCGACAAAATCCGACCTAAAAAGGCACATGAATAGTGAACACATAAATAACTCCTATTCTTGTTCAAACTGCAGTTTTGTAACGTCCTCCAAGAAAGGTTTGCGAGGACACTTTACCAGGGCGCATATCATGAATGTCAGGCAGTTTCAAGAAAAGACATTGAAACAAAAAGAAGCAAATGAGAGAAAAAGAGAACATAAAAGATTAGAGAGTAGAAATTCTGAAGAACAGAACAAGCCCAGGGTTTTCCTAGTTCCAGCAGGGCCAGGTTATTATTTAATAATTTTAATAATTTTATTCTAAAATTTAATATTAATTTAAAATTCTTGGATGAGTTTTTTTAATTTAATTTATTATTTGTTTCTGTGGCTTTATTTTAATTTAAGAAGTTAATATTTTTGCCTCAACTGTAAATAGGGAATATTAAATATAAATTAACATAAGCCTCATGCATTTTTTTCTCGCTGAATTAGGGAAAATATTTAGATTTTTGGTTGGATTAGAAGGGATGAAAGTTTTGCCTTTTGTTGTCTAATTTTTTTTTTGCTAGATCATAATTGAAATTCTAAAAATTATGTAACCCTGTGAATTTTCATAGTAGGTGTAGACACTGACTCCACTGACTCTACTGATGGAAGAGCAAGATCTCGTTGTTGCAGTGTTCCTGGATGTAAAAACCGGAATGGTCAAATGCACACTTTCCCTAAGAATGATCCACAAAGAGTTCAACGCTGGATGGAGGCTATTAATGTCGACATATCCTCGTACAAAATAAATTCATACCGGAGAGTTTGCCATCTTCATTTTCCACCAGAGAGCTATGCACGGAACCTGCAAGCGGAGTTACTAAACTACCCCTGTCGGAAGCGATTGGCGGATGATGCTGTTCCGTCCCTCCTCCTTCCATCTCCGCCTTCGAAGGGAAATAAACCTCCAGTTCCCAAACTTCAAGTTAAACTTGTAGAAGATAAAGTATGTCAACAACCTGGTTCAACTGATTCAACTGGTTCAAAGCGTCAAAGAAAGGCTTGCTGTGGTCCTAAATGTGGTAATCAAAATGGTACAATGCAC